TTGGGTGGTTTTTGATTACTGATTCAGTCTTTTTACTTATTCAATGTCTGTTGAGATTTTCTATTTCATCTTGAGTCAGTTTAGGTCATTTAGGTGTTTCTAGAAATTTGTGCATTTCATATAGTTTGTTGGCATAAGTTGTTTATAGCATTCTTTATTTTTTTAATGTTTATTTATTTTTGAGAGAGAGTGCACGAGAAGGAGAGAGGTGGCGGGGGGTGGGGACAGAGGATCCAAAGTGGGCTCTGCACTGACAGCAGTGAGCCCCATGCAGGGCTCAAAACCATCAATCATGAGATCATGACCTGAGACAAAGTCGGAGCTCAACCAACTGAGCCACCCAGACAACCTTATAGTGTTCTTTTATAACTCTTCATAACTCTAAGGTTAATAGTAATGTCTTCAATTTCATATCTGACTTAGTTATTTCTGTCTTCTTTTTTCTTTGTCACTCTAGATAAGAGTTTATCAATTTGTTGATTCTTTTTAAATAATCAATTTTTGTCTTTGTTGGTTCTCTCCATTGTTTTTCTAGTCTCAATTGCATATGTCTCTATTCTAATCTTTTCATTTCCTTCCTTGTTAGCTTTGGGTTTTGTTTTGTCTTATTTTGTTTCTATTTCTGCGATATGTCTAGTACCGTAAGGTGGCTGAAGACCTTTTTTTTCTTTTTTATGTAGGATAAATTTACCTATGAGCACTGGTGTTGCTATATCCTGTAAGTTATGTTTTGCTGTGTCTTTATTTTCATTTGTTGCTAAGTATTTTCTAATTTCCCTTGTGATTTCTTCTTTGACCCATTGGTTATTTGATAGTGAGTTGCCTAATTTCCATTCATTTTGAATTATCCAGTTTTCCCTCTATTATTGATTTGTAGCTCCAATCCATTGTTGGTTAAAAAGACACATTGGGTAATTTCAATATTTTTACATTTTCAGACTTGTTTTGTGACCTAACATATGCTCTATTCCAGAGAATGTTTCATGTTCACTTGAGAATAATGTATATTCTTCTATCATTGGGTTGAGTGTTGTATATATCTCTGTAAGGTCCAGTTTATTTAGAGTTGTCCATTTCTTCTGTTTCCTTATAGATTATTGGCCTAGATGTTTTATACATTATTGAAAGTGGCATATTGAATTCTCCATCTATT